GCAAAAACAGCTTGAGAGAAATACCAAAAATAAAATAAGTAGTGTAGATTGACTGCCTCTCTACATTTATAATTTGCAAAACCATCTCTAGGAGATCCCATTTATTTCTTTTGTATTTTTTGAAACTTTACAGAGAGCACATTTTAGTCCAGAAGTGGTGAACTGGAATTGTTTGTATGACTTCAGTTGCCATCAGAATTCAGCTGTTTCAGAGGAGAGTGCCAGGTGGCCAAGAATACAAATTCTAGGTGCCTAGTCTTTTCTGGGGATAACTTGGCTTTTTCTTGGGCATGAAATTCCTTCTCTACTAAAATAAGGGTTTGAAGAATGTTATTAGAAAGTTTACAACTCTAACACTTATATCTGTATGGTCTCCACTCATAAGTTAGCGTTTTGTGTCAAGAAACATTTCTTCTACAAACCATTGAGGACTTCTGCCCTTGGAAGAAGATCATTCTGCCATCTAGCCTTCTCATCCAGTTATCACAGCATTCTCCACCCTGGCATTTCCCCCCTCATGTCCCTGTAGTACAGCAGAGGGGTAGAGGAAGCCAGAGGAGCTGGACCAGACGGCCTTGCTTCTGAATTACGCACAGGAAATTGTTATACACACCTTCCTGTGCCTATCTATGTCAGGGAGTTGCAAACACTGACCAAATTTGATTCGTGGACTAAATAATGTGACTTCTGGGCACTCCAGTGACCTCAGAAATACACTTCATAGGTCAGATTTTCTGTTAAAGTTTTTCTGTTAAAATGTGCCTATGATTATGTAAACACTCAGTATTTTGTCAGTATTAAATATTCTCTTTGACATATTTGCTATCTATGGGAAATTATATTTCAGTGAATTAACATACATCTTGTCTCGTCTTCGGCTGCACCAACACCAGTAATATCAATCTCACTTTCAAAGATGCTATGATTTTGTCATGTTTTCTCTTCTAAAATGCTTCATCCCAGCTGCACTGTTAATATCCTATTTCAATTGCCAGTGGACTTGTTATTTAAGCAGTCATTATTGACTTTAACAAGAGAGACTTCAGTCAGAAGTGTGGATGAAAGACTAGTTGGCATGAATTCTAAGGAGAATGAGAAAAGAAAAACGAAGACAATGAAGAGAGTAACTCAAGGAGTTTTACTGTGAAGGAAGGTACATCATGTTTTTTTTTTTTGAGGGGGGGCGTGGGCGGCTTCAAGGGAGGTTTTATTTAAGACAAATGATACGACTGAATGTATACAAGTGAAACTTGTACACCAGAGATGGAACATGAGTGATGGAGGCAGAGTGGACAACAGGAGTGGACAGGATCCCGGGCATTAAGCCGAGGGTTGACTAAGATAGGGGTGCAGACCTTTCTTTCACTGTAAAGGAGGAAGGATGAGTGGGGCATCTTGGTGGCAGGATGCTAAGTTTCTCTGCTGATGCTGCTATTCACTTACTGAAACAAGAAGCAAAGGTAGCAAGAGTGAGGAAAAGGTCTGGATACGGGAGGTTCGAGGAGAGGAGGTAATTTGAAATGGTCATTGAGAGATGGGGAGTAAATTAACTAGAGAAATGTCGTAGGATTTCCAGGCAGCACTGAGGGCTCATTTGAGGGTTATGATTGTGAAGAGAAACACTCAGCATGATTGTAATTTGTTTATTTGTTTCCTGGCTTATTCAGCTGCTTGGGTTTGGCAGAGATATAGTATGAACCCAGGTTAGAAGTCTTACTTGTACAGGAAAACCCATGTTGAAAGGTCAGGGGAATTGAAGATAATAATAAGGGAGTGATTTTTAATGATGGAGAATGGAACCTCATCCAGCAAGGAGGGAAACAGGGGAACAAGGGTGATGGGGTGATGGGCAGTGAGCATGTGGTAGGTGCCATAGCTTGGGACACCCTCTGGAGTTGAGGAATGGTTGGGTCAGTATATTCTAACAATGAGCCAGACGAAAGAAATGATGTTTGAAATTGAGATTTAGGAGAGTGTACAGTTACCAATAAAGACCGGGTCTATGGTATGATCATGACCTTGGGAGCTGAGGTAGAGTGAAGGACAAGACCATTGGAAGTTAGAAGGTCATGGGACTTCGAGGCCACATTGGAGCTAAAACTGAAGAGAGAAATAGCAACAGAAAAGTCTTTTTACTCAGCAGGTGGTATCTGTAGCTTCCTCTTGGTTATTAATAGTCCCTGTAGTCAAACATCCAGAAACATGCAGAGTCACCCCCCAGGAAGCAGGAACTTTTGACACAGCATTTCCTGGACACTGGTCTTGTGCTCTCTGGCTTCTGACCTTTCATGAATGGCTCTTAGTTCCTGTCCTGTGGCCACAATCCCATATCATTTTTTTCTCTTGTCCTCACAGAGGCTCTTAGGGGCAGGATCTTTTGACCGCCTCACCTCAGAGGTGTCTGTTTGACTCACAAGTATCCTTGGCCCACCAGGCCTGATGAGCCAGCTCCTGTGAACTTTTCCAGCTACGATTTGGTAGTGAGAGGGAGATTTTCTACAGCTCGGCAAGCATCCATCCAGGAGATGAATGTCAGCAATCCTCTTGCAGATAGTCTCTCTGAGGGGCTCCTCTTGCAGCCTGCTCCACCTGACTAATCACCTTTTCTAAGTAAACCTCTTTTGCCCACAGTATCTTCTAACCTGCTCTGTTATGTCATCTTAGGTGAGTGATGGAGGTAAGGGTTGCAGGCCTGGCTGATTCTCTCTCTCTCTCTCTAAAGAATGACTGGGTGTTTGTCACCCAAGGTTCTTATCCCTGGTGTCCCAGCCAAATCTGGGGCTTTTCAATTAAACCCCTGCTTGTTTTCTGTGGTGTTACAGGTTATTTTTCTAACAGCCATTTAAATGGAATTCTACAGTTGTGTCATCAAAGTTCAGGAATATCACATTGTCTCTTTTCTCCAAAAATCTCAACAGTGTCTTAAATACGTAACAGAGTATTGTGTATTTAAGATGAAGGGCTGATTAGCTTTCACAGTTGGTACAAAAGTCCTACAAATAGCTTCCTAAAAAGTACTTAAAGACATGTAAACCCTGGAGGGATGAATATTCTTCTTTATGCTGATTCCACAGTAGCATAGACGTTAGACTGTAGGCACAAAGGAAATTAATATTTAGATTTATCTTCTTTATTTTGCTATGAATTGTGATAGTACATATTCTCTTTGGCTTGATCATGTCTAATTTAGGATTGGTGATGCTTAGGTCTTTTATAGGGTTTATTTTAAGTTATATTTTTATTTCTCTTGAATCTTATTTGCAAATATATTACACACTGTGTCACTCTCTCCAAAATCGTCTTCCAGCTTTCTCTCCCTGTCAAGATTCCTGTGCTCAAACCTCACTGGTCACCCAGTTGTTCCAATGCACTGAGCTCCTTTTCCAGTCCACACACTGTGCCTTCTGCCAGAAATGCTCCCTCCCCTGATTTCCACTCCTCACACACATGTAACTACTCCTTTCCTTCATCTTTCACGGCTCAGCCTAAACATAGCACCTCCTCAGTGAGACCTCCTGTAACAATCCACACTTCCACTCCTGTGCCAGCTGGTATGTATTCTTATAACACCCTGTGTTTCTTTCTCGTTTACCACACTTAGAAGAATAAGTTTGTCTCTTTGGTGCCTTTCTATCACCCTATATTATAAGCTCCATGAGGGCAGAGCAATGGCCGTTTTCCCAGTGTTTAGCATGGCATCTGGAACTTAGTTGGCACTCAACAAATAACTTGCAGAACAAATGAATGAAAACTCCCAATATAACTTTACTACAGTGAAATTGAAGGGCTTTATCAGCACATGCAGGGCCATGTGAGGTTGTGAGGACTGGAGGAAAGTCTATTACCCTAAAGAAGGTAGAGCACCCTTTGGAGTTTGAGTACTTACGTATTTTAACTCTAAAGTGTGTGTTTAGTTTTGAAAACATAGTTAGGTGTAAGTGGGAGGTACACTTGAATTTTTCATAGAAAAGCCTGTTAATTGTTTTTGTGGTGGTGTTCTAACTAGGCTTCTCATTACAGTAATTGACGCGTTGCTTACCTGGGCACCGACTCAGCAGAGAATTCTAACCACTCATGAAAACACAGTATAAGATCTGCAGGTGATCAGCCAATAGAGTCATTGTCAAATAAAACAAAAGGCCTATGTAAGACGGAAGCATCCTGAGAATTTTTCCCCGTATATCAAGCTTTTATACTAGGGCATTTTGCTATTGTTTAAGTTAGGTGTGTTGTCAGTTAGCTTTTTAAGTTATAATCATACATTTCTGGATTAAGTATGATTTAATTTACAAAATAAAAGGTCTAAATAACAATTTTCAAATTAAAAAATAATTCCTCATTTCTTGCCTATTATTTAATTTCCATTTGGTAATGTTCATAAAGCACTTTTTAGTGCTGTCATTTTTTTTTAATTCCACATCTTTTTAAAGTTCAGGATTTCAGTATCAGTATTTCCATGTTTGAGAAGTATATATAAGAAGGCATTTTATCATTTGACTATTTAAGTATAGTAAAATTAGATAGACAAGAAGGACTCTTAGCATTTGTGCTTCTGTCTTTTAAACTGGTTGCCATTTGTTGAAAATGAGGTTGTGGAAGTTTCTCATCATCTTTCTATTATTTCCGTTACATTTTCTCCTTTCGGAAAAAGTATTCTCAGGTTTATTTGAATTAAATACACTTAATACAACCTGTCCTTGTGAAAGTTTCATGATTTCCACAGAAAAAAAATTTATTATTTACCTCTTTTCCTGCCACTTTATAAATATGTTGAAGAGTGATCTGTTCAAAAGAAACCACTTAATATAATACGGAAATGATGGGGCTGCTTCAGATTTAGTACTACTCAGGAAATTTGTTGCATCCAAATTCATTCTGAAACTGATGTTCAGAGTTTAGAAATCAGAGTGTACTGAAGTCTTAAGAAATCAAAGTATATATTGCTTCTGTGTTACCACCAAGAACTACTGAATTTTGAACCCCTGAACACTCTCTTCTAGCTGCTTTCGAAATCTATTGAACAACTGAAGCAACCAGGCAGTCATCTCGAGGAAGCGGAGGAAGAGCTTCAGGGGGACCAGGCGATGCAGGAAGACAGAGCGCCCTCTAGTGGCAACAGCACTAGGAGTGACAGCAGTGCTTGTGTGGATGACACACTGGGACAAGCTGGGGCTGTGAAGGTCAAGGAAGAACCGGTGGACAGTGATGAAGATGCTCAGATCCAGGAAATGGAATCTGGGGAGCAGGCTGCTTTTATGCAACAGGTAATAGGCAAAGATTTAGCTCCAGGATTTGTAATTAAAGTCATTATCTGAATGTGAAACGCATTGCAGGTTTTGGTAAATGGATATTATTTCCTATCCGTTTATATCTCTGATGTGATTTTAGTGTTTAAGGATTCTAACTAATGCAGATTTATCTATATATAGAGCTTTCTATATACTGATCTCTATATAGATATCAAGGTTTCATTGAGACTCCACTGGTAAGGAAAACCTGTTACACTAAAATTATACTGCCTAAGTATTCCAAGTAATTAATAGGCTTTAAATTCATCCCAAAGCCTGCCTCACCAATTACTTCCAAGGAAAACAAACTCACTGTTGTTTTTAGTTTATCTGTTGAGATCAGTGACTGCTGGATATAGTTTCTCAGTCTGATCAATGAAACATTCTATTAGTTCTTGATTTTTTTTGATATATAGAATTCAATTGTCACATTGTTGTACATAATGTATCATATACTGCAGTCTTGAACACTGTTAAAGGTAGTCTGCCCTTTCCTTCCTCTCTCTTTTTTGTTAAGTGAAATGTTCTGGTTACTATGCCAATAGTCCTAGGTTATTATATAGATTGCAATTGAAAATTTTAGGAATAGAGGTGGTTTTAAACATATAGATGCAAAGTACAGCACTATTTTAAAATATTACATTATGTCTCACCTAGTACTGCTCATTTCACTTTTATCTCGTGTTGTTTGATCACATTGTTTATTGAAACAGATCAAATGAAGCAGATGCAAATGTTGGCAAGAAGTAATGTGCAGCATTTTGGTCCAGTCAGATACAATATTGTATCTACAGTTGTGGAAAACATAGTAGCAATATGATTATTATCTGATATGAAGTCAAAATCACATTTAAAAGAAGAAGATGAATAATCATTATCATTAGGACCTCTTAAGGATAATTCCATAATGACAGGGCATATACCATACTATTTTGGCAAATTTAAAAATTAGGAAAGTTAAGTTTAACAAAAGAATCTACTTGTATATAATGCACCTTCAGAAGGACTATGTCCTTTGATGCTATGAAATGCAAACAACTTTGAAGGCAACAGAAGACTGTTTATTTAAGTCAGTTCTTTGTCAGGTTCCTGCTGTTCTCCTACAAAAAAAAAAAACTGATTCTACGAGGCTGAGCAGGAAATGCCTTGTGGAAACAGGAAGTCCAAGTGATTCATGTACTGAGGAATGTAGGGAAAAGAAAAAAAAACGGAGGATAGTGTTTTACTCTTTCTGTTTTTAAAGGGCACTCTATGAATTGATTTATTGTCTAAGAAAATAACACCACAAGTGGGGAAATTGTTAAGGAAGCTTTTCACTGGAACATTTCCTTCATACTCCCTTCTGATATGTTTACCTTGTTTTATAGGTTTACTTTTGTTAAGCTAGTTAAAGATGCGTTGTATTAAGACCCCTTTAATATGGATAATCCAGATTGACCTAGAATCTTTGTGAGGTTTTTTTCTATTAAAATATTTATATTTCTAAATCCGAGGTATTTTAAGGTGTAGTATCCTGTTTCAAAGGCAATACAGCAGTTTTGCCAAATGTAGACATTGTACAACTGTATGTATTGGCACGTGTTGTTTACATTTTGCTGTGACATTTAAAAATATTTCTTAAAAAAGGTTACTGCTAAAGATACATTATCCTTTTTTAAAAAGTCTCCATTCAAATTAAATTAACATAACTAGATGTTAGAAAGTTTAAAACTTTTCCATATAATGAAAGTCCTTCTGATAATTTGACAAATAGCTATAATAGACAACACTTCCTATTACCAATATATTTTGGTTAGTATATTCCTTCAGATTAAAATGACTTTTTGTCAGTTGTTTTGCATTAAAACATGGCATTCCTAAGATAAAATTGTATATTTTTTCCATCTCATAAATATACATTTTCTTTAAAGTCTTTTTTCAATCTCATAAAAAAGGGATAGTGCATCTTTTAAAATACATTTTATTTGGGGAGGAACATGTGGCTGAGCAGACTTTTGTATAATATTACTTCAAAGATATGTAATCACAAACAAAAAAAAAACCCTATTTTTTATAATGTCATTTGAGAGAGTTTCATCAGTACAGTTGGTGGACGTTAATTGTTTGAATTTGATAGTCTTTGAATTTAATCAAGAAACTACCTGGAACCAGTGAAAAGGAAAGCTGGACTTAACTAATCTTAGAGCTAATTGATAAATGTCTCTTTTAAAATCTATTGTATTTATTATAATTTACACCCTTGAAGGTGATCTCTTGTTTTGTGTTGTAAATATATTGTTTGTATGTTTCTCTTCTTGCCTTCTGTTATAAGTCTCTTCCTTTCTCAAATAAAGTTTTTTTAAAAGATCCCCTTTCATACATATGGCTTTGTGTAAACTTGATATATTTAATCGAATTCGAAGCTCATACACTAGGTCTCATATTCCAAAATATATTGCCATTCTTTGTTGAAACAAGAAAATAAAGATATTTTGACCAGTTACTTCCAATACCATTAAAAATGATAAATCCAGCAATAGTGACTTTAAACTGTTTACATCAACCATTATCAAATAGCAAACACATGTAAAATATGTTGCCGTTTCATTTTCCCAGCGTGGCCTTTTTCATGATACGTTATCATCTTTGATGTCATCCTCTAAATATAAAATTTTACATAAATAGATGTCAGTTCCTAACTTTGCTCAACTTAAAAAATTATCTTTAAAAAGGTTAACATAATCCCTTGAATATAACAAGCACTCAATAAATAATAAAGTGAATAGTTTTCCGTGTAACATAATAGTTGTATCTCTAATAGTGAGAGCCTGACCTACAAGTATAAAGTGACAGTACATAAATTTAAAGAGAAAAGAGTACTTAAATGACCTCCCCTTATATGGAAATAATTATTGCATTAGTAGTGTGAAGAACAAGGTGCCTGATTCAGGTAAAGGGAACTGAAACATACACACCCCAAGGGCGTGACATGCCTTGCTCTTCTGGTCTTATTAGTCAATACTTCATAATACGTTGCTGTGTACTTGGTTCAATGGGTTAAAAATACTTGTTTTATATTCTTTGATTCTCTTAATCTAAACTTGAACAGTATCCCATAGGTTAAAGCTACTCTAATTCTGGAACTAATATTGTTTACTATTATGAAACAGATTATCATTCCATAATGCCATAAATGTGATGACTTGGTCAGGACTGTGGAAATACTATTGATGCTTGCCATAATTTCCAAGATTGCCTTTGGACTATAAAATTACAAGATTAAGTTGGTATTAGAGATCGTTAAAAAGAAATGCGAGGAATCGGTTAGATAATGGTCTTATAGTGTGTATCTGATTTCCAAAGTGTAAAGCAGCTTGTTCAGTATGTATCAATCTTCATGTTAGGAACTTTTTCTTCAAAAAAATAGTTTCTGCCAGAACTTGCAACGAATACCCGTTAGGGTTCCTCCTTGGGCCGTACAAGGCCACCTTCTCCTTAGTGAAGGCGGCTGCTGAAATTCAGACTGCTACTCTTCATAGTTCTGAGAAAGAGAGTTTTTAGGAAATGTTTATGTTGTTTCATACTTTTTCCTAAAGTATGTCAAAAAGGAATTCAGACACTAAAAATTTTTTTGAAACCTAGTACTCAGCAGATATATAGGTGAACAACAGTATTTGTTTTTAATTTGACATTTATTTGTGAGATTTTCCACTAACAAAAGTATGTCTGTCTGGCTTCTTTCACTTGGCATTTCATGTTCATTTACATTAAAGCATGTTCAGTACTTCATTCTTTCTTATGACTAATAATATTCCATTGGATGAATATCCTATGTTTTGTTTATCCACTCATCAGTTGATGGACACTTGAATCGTTTTCACTTTTTGTCTATTGTTCGTAATTCTGCTCTGAACATTTGTGTACACATTTTTGTGTTAATGTGTTTTCAGTGATTTGGGGTATATACCTAGGAGTGACATTGCTGGGTCATATGTTAACTCTGTTTAACATCAGAGGAACTGCTAAGCTGTTTTCCACAGTGTCTAAACTATATTCCCACTAGCAATAGATGAGGGATTCCAGTTTCTCCACATCCCCCAACACTTGTTATTTCCCTTTTCTTGTTTTTAACCATTGCATCCTAGTGGATATGAAGTAGTGGCTGGTTGTTTTGATTTCTGTTTCACTTATGACTAATGATGTTAAACACATATTCATTTGCTTATTAGAAATCTGCATATCTTCTTTGGAGAAATGTCTACTTAAGTCCTTTGCCCATTTTTTCAATTTGTTTATTTGCCTTTTTGCTCTTGAGTTGAAAGGGATTTTAAATACATTCTGGATACTAGACCATTATCAGATACACGAGTTGCAAGTATTTTCTCCCATCCTGTGGGTGGGTTGCCTTTTCATTTTCTTGATAGTGTCCTTTGATACACATACATTTTTAATTTTGTTGAAGCCTAACTTATCTTTTTTTCCTTTTGTTAAGAATTTGTCACCTAATCCAATGTCACAAAGATGTATATGTTTCCTTCTGAGAGTTTCATAATTTCAGACCTTACTTTTAGGTCTTTGGTCCATTTTGAGTTATTTACATTGTTTCTTAAATTCTTCCATGCATTTGAGTAGAAGGTAGAACTTAATGATTGTTGGACTCCATTTTCTCCTGCATCAGCTCGGTTTTCCTGTTTCCAGTTGATTTTGGTCTTGGTCTTCCACCATTCCTGTTGTTGTCTCTTGTTGCTTCCTGGCTTTTGATGGTGCTTTTTTTCTCTTCTCTTCTCAATGAACCATTTAAATGCTACAATCTTGATGTTTATTAAACCTAATATAAACTGAGGATAATACTGAGTTTATTTTTCCTTTAAGAAATGCCTTTTTTCCTGATGATCTTTATAAAAACTAAATCAAAGTTATTTTGCTTCACTTATATGGCTATAAAATTCTGCCTTGGTTACTCATTTTTACTTATGCCTAAATTTTATGTTGAAGTT